CGGTATAGGTGGGGAGGGATGGGAGGGATTTTGGGGGTGTATGTTTTGTTTTGTGTAAGTCTGTTCTTTTTTGTGGTTTTTGTTAGAAAAATAATAAAAAAAAACCTTAATCAAAAAAAAGGAAGAAAAAAAGAGAAATCTGTGCAATTTAGTGACTTGACTAAACAGTTAAACATTTTAGAGCAGAAGCATGTTGAAACCAAAGACCCCAATCTTCTACAGCAAATTGCTGCAATAAGAGCGGATTTAAATACTAAACTCAATGATAAGGTGATACTTAATCTCAAATATACTAAAACGCTACAACTACCAAAGGACAAAGGAGGAATGTCTCTCCCATGTTTGGAAAATTATTGCAAAGAAGCAAAACTGCAATTTGCAGTTCACTGGTGTGAAGAGGGGTATGAAGCAAAATGGAAAGATCTAGAATTAAGCCAAATCGACATCCCCTTGCAAGCCCTACTGGGGGGATAAACATCTCAAGAGCAAGCATGCAGATGAGTTGTGTGTCTCCACAAAAGTCCCTCTCAAAGAGGTTTGCAACCCACTCTTAGAGAGGAAAACTCAGTTATTAAGATGGATTGAACATGATAGGGATATTGTACCAGCACAACTTGATTCAAAATTCAAACAACTAACCAGGAAAGGTATTACTTCATACTGTGTGATTTCATCTGGTGCCGATCTGGATAGTTTCCAACAATTATGAGAAAAATTTGACCTTGACATACAAGATTTTTTCAAATACCTGCAGCTCAGGCACTACTTTAATAAGAACATTAAAACAGTGGAAAAAGATGATCAAGACCTCATTAATATCTTTATTGATGCTTATAAAGGTAAATCCTATAAGAAGAGGCTGTCCAGAATATATGGGTGCTTAGAAGCCATTAAAAAAACATCAACAATATATATTAAAATTTCATGGGAAAGGGAGGCAAAAATAATGCTGACGGAGGATGAGTGGCTAAACATATGCCAAATTAACTCCACTACCACAAGCTCAGGACATTGGAGGGAATTTTCATGGAAGAATATTGTTTTTGTTTTTGATTTTTTTATAACCCCCAAAAGAACATTCTCTCAGACCGGCAGGACCGAATCAGTGCACTGTTGGAGACAATGTAATAATGTGATGGTTGACCACTTCCACATTTTCTGGGGCTGCCCACTGATTTATTCCTATTGGTCAAAGGTTACCAAAGAGATAAGAAAAATTCTTGGATTTGAAATAAAGCATAACTTTAAAACAATATATCTGGGTAATTTACCAAGTGAACTCAACACGCAGGATAAGTAGCTTTTGAAAATACTACTAATAGCAAGTAAGAAATCAATAACAAGAAAGCGGCTTAGTGGGAGCCCACCGACATTGAGGGACTGGTTAGCCACAATAGAAGAAATATGTGAAATGGAAATGCTTACTTTTTCCCTAAGACTCCAGGAAAACAAAATAAAAACATACTTGTTGAAATGGTTTACATATACAGCGGGTAAAATAAGTATTGAAAACGTCAACATTTTTCTCAGTAAATATATTACTAGAGGTGCTAATGACATGAAATTTTCACCAGATGTCGGTAACAACCGAAGTGGTCCATACATACTGTACAAAGAAATCAAACCATAAATGTCCAGAAATGAAGTTATTTGTAATAATGTGGAGTGGCACAGGGAAAAAGTATTGAACACACTTACTGAAATTTATCTAATACTTTGTACAAAAGCCTTTGTTGGCAATTA